CAAGAAGTGGGCAGGCAAAAGAGCACAGCATTTCCCTGAGGTTTCTTCTTATCTGAGCGACTCCTAGAAGGTTCTGCCCACACTGTGCCCCCACCTCACTTAATCCTTCTCCAGGAATTCCCCCCACAAACTCACCCAGTCAAGTTGACAGTCAAGATTAACCATTACAACTGGTCCTGATTCCTCTCCAATCCCAGCATCTTCCTCTTTATTTAAGCACATTTTCCTCCAAAGTGAGAAAGGGGAATGAGGCCACTTGCTTCTGCTTGGTGGTACACAAGTGATGTAAGTGGCTGTTGTGCAAGCAGCTGCTATGTTTATCCTGTGATCCTCCCTGGGCAGGAGACATTATACTGTCAGAGGTGCTCTAGTGATGGACGAGGAAACCACAGCACAGAGGGTGATGCCTTAACCTGGAGACAGGCCAGGGAGAGTAAAATTAGGACTCAAGTCTCCCTGACCATGTTACCATGCTCGTTTAAAGAGCCATATGCAAAACATCATGCCCAGTACTCTGGGCCCTGGATGTCTTGTGTAGCCTGAGTCCGCTGCAGGAGGCTGCAGGGACAATGGGATGATAACACCCCCCAGGCCCATGCTGCAGCCCTTCATCCTTGACAGCACTGCCAGACCGTCTATCTCTTAGATAGCTACAGCTATTTTTATTCTGTCCTTGCTCAAGCACAGTTTGGGCAAAGCTGTGAGTAGAGGCCCAGGGAAGACCACCATTGGCCCAGAGACCACTATAACCCAGGAAGAAAAAAATCTTATTGCTGTCTTAAAACAAAACAAAAAACTTTAAGCCAGGCATAATGGCACACACCTGTAATCCCAGCACTCAGGAGACAGAGGCAGGTGGATCTCTGAGTTCGAAGACAGCTTGGTCTAAGGAGTGAGTTCTAGGGCAGCCAGGACTACACAGAAACCATGTCTCAAAAAAATCCCTCCAGAAATCCTTTAAAAATATTTCTGTGCTTTAAATCACCTCTAAGTTGAATTCCATTGCAGAATTCTCCCCTGGGCATTTGAAGTCTTCTATACGAGGCAATATAATAGATCTAGAATGACTGGATTGGTAGCAATAGAACAAAGTCTTGCTTCCTAGTTTGCAACAAGGCTTGGAGAATATGGGGTGGGTGAAAGGAAGAGACAGTGATGAAGTAGAATGTGACTGTCCTCCATACTTCCAGGACTTTGGGCCAGGCTATAAATTGAATTAGAATAGATTCAGTGGAGAAAAACCATACCTATTTATGTACATGCACACCAAAGTCCCACAAAATGAGACAGCAATTGATGTTTCTCCAGTATCTGAGGTTAGGGAGGGGGAGGGTGGAAATGAATAGTGATTTTTAGTTGTTTTACATAGATAGTGCCATTCAGGGAGTCAGGTGTCTGGAGCGGCCTTTTGCCACACAGATATGGACTGATGTCCTTTTCTCTTTTAGAGGTGGATGTCTTGTGAAAAGCAGCTTTCAGGGCCTCCCAAGTCAGTGACTACTCAGCATAATTAGCTCAAAATATGCCAGAAAAAAATCAATCTTTAATTTTTTAAAAAGAATGTTAGGAATAATACTACATGCCTTTAATCCCAGCACTTGGGAGGCAGAGACAGATGGATCTCTGAGTTCGAGGCCAGCCTACTTTACAGAGAGAGTTCCAGGATAGCCAGGGCTACATAGAGAGACCCCTGTCTCAAACCAAAGAAAACATTTGAAGATTTGTTTTATGTGTATGAGTGTCTGGCTTGTTTGTATGCATGTATGTGCCTGAGGTTCTCTGCAGGAGCAACCCTGAGTCATCTCTTCAGCCTCCAGAAGTCTGTCTTGAGCAGTATACTCCAGCCTCACACACTCACATTTCAGGATGGCAGATTCTTAGCCCTAAGGATCCAGGAAGATGTGTTAGGGTAGAGAGCCAGGAAAAGGGCTAGGTGTGTATTGGGGGGGGATACACAGGCACAGATGCCTGCAGGTCCTGAGCTCCTCTGAGAACGCTGTGCTGTCCTAGGACTCTGGGACAGGTGATGTTCTTCCTATCAATGACTAAGACTGTGTGTGGGTCCATGGACCTCAGTTTTGAGACAGCGCAGGAGAAAGCCGAGGCAGTGAGGTCTAAGTGGGCACTTAGGGTGTTCAGAAGATGAACAAAAAAAAGTGAGATCTGCCAGAGAAGTGGGAAAAACCAGGATGGTGTGCATCTGAGGGGTGCTTGGGCTCCCTCAGGCCTGCTGGGGGGCTGGCCCTCCTATCAGCTGCATACTTTTTAAAGGGAGATCTTCACCATGGAGCCCCGCCTGGCAGGAAACTCAGCATGTAGACCAGGCTGACTGCCTCTGCCTCTCAAGTACTGAGACTGTGTCCACCACACCTGCCCTAACCACTGCAAACCTGCCTTCTCTTCTACACTGTGATACTCCTTAGGCTGAACCACTCACAGTCCTGTACGCGCAGTTCTTCTTTGGTATCCTAAGCATTGTAAATGCTAAGGGAAAAAAACTTGTTACATTGCACTATTCAGAGGATAAATGATAAGTAATGTCTATACATACAGGTTTTTTTTTTTAAAGTTGGTTGAACCTGCAGATGGGGAACCCAAGGCTATAGAAAGCTTGCTTCATTTTCTGACATGACATATTTAGTATATATAGCTTCATGAGACATTATAGGCACATAGTAGGTGCTCAGCAAATGCCTCTTGAATGAAATATTCCACTCTGGATTTTTAACACCACTACCATCTGCCAATCAAAACGTAGTATATGAGCTTGCTTTATTGTTTAATCAAATATCAAAGGAACTTATGGAACACATCCCAACTAAACACAGGAAAACCTTACATATTTAGTTTTTTGGGTTTTTTTGTTATCCCTCCCCATTTTAAAGGGGGGTGGATGTATTAGAGTATTCCAGTCTATGGAGATGTCACTATAGGAGTGCAGAGTAAGTGCGGACACTGCCCCCTCATGGCTGAGTGAGGAAGGCTGCTTTCTGCACAGCTGAGAGGGTGAGGAAGACTCAGGCTACTGATGGGGGATCAAGACTCCATAAATAGGTCAAATCAGGAGGCAAGTAAAAGGAAGAAAGTGTCAAAGGGAGAATTTTTAGGGAGTGCAGAGTTCACGTTTCTATATTGTGAGGATGTTGACGATTAGCAGGAGGAGCAAAGAGCAATGTTCAGACAAGAAAATCCCCACTTGATAATACCCACCTGCTGCACTTACAGCTGGGATCCGAGTGGGAGCTGCCTGTCAGTGCTGCAGGGTCAGCTTCATTTGACCATAATTTGTGTGCATCATTTTCACCAAGTGCCTTTGGAGACCAAGAATTGTTTGAGAGAGAGAGAGAGAGAGAGAGAGAGAGAGAGAGAGAGAGAGAGAGAGAGAGAGAGAAGTGTCTGTGGTGTGTGTGTGCGTGCACACACACATTAATTCCTCCTATACATACCTTATCTATGATTTTGCTTTTCACGGCTTTAGCTCTCTATGGCTGACCACAGAAGAAAATATAAAATGGAAACTTCCAGAACTGAACCGTTCCTGGGTTTTTAGTTGCACACAATCCTTAGTAGAAATCTTATGCTGTTCTGCTCCACAGTACCTCTGATGGAACCAATAGTCTACCCAGCATATGCTCTCCGTATAGGCAACCAAGCCACAACTCCTTTAGTTCCATGCTAGTGTGTAGGATTCAGTACTGCTGGGGTGGTAGTTTCCATCATCCACTGTGACACACACACACACAAACAGCTTTCTATTTACAGTGTACTCAGTAAGTCAGTCTGGTATATAGTCAATGCCACATACTTGGTTCCAAGATGATCTGTTCCTAAACAGAACTCTTTCCCTGGCAGCAGGGAAGGCCTTCTGCTGCTGTTGTAGGACCCCTCCAGGTTCAGAGTTCCCAGCATCTGTGAAGCTGGATGCAGGCTCAGTAAGGAAGGAGCTACATTGCTACTCTGTATTTCCCTTTCATTCAAACTGGACCTATGTGCATTACCACTTCCATTGTGTGGATGGGGAAGCTGACAGAGCAACAGAAGGCGATTTGCTTGGGACGATGTGGTTTGCACGTTTGAGCGCCAGTTCCAGGCCTATGCTCCTCACTTACTCTCTGCCTTTCAGGTCCTCCAGGGCTGTGAAAGGTGCAAGAAAAACTTCAAGAACAAGACCAGCCAAGCTGACAGCATGAGGGACACTGGCACCTCCAGGGCTGGGAGCCTGTACCTGGAGCAGAGAGAACTGGGCAGAGCTGGGCATCAGAGCACTGGCTTCTCACATTTAGCCTGGACCTCAGAGAGAAGGGAGTCAGCAAGCTCCTCAGTCACCATGCTGCCCCAGACCCTGCCGGGCTGGTAGGAGAAAAGCTCTCAGCACTTTCAGATGCTGGTGTGTGCTGCTCCAGCGGCGGCTGTTTGTAGTCCCTCATGCTGACATCTCACTTCTGTTGCTGCTGGATGGAGCGTGCAAGCTTTACAAGTATGTGTGTAATGTCTGGCAATGTCTAGGAATCAGCCTGTGGCAGCTGTTCCACACTTCTTTAATTTCCTTTTTTATTTATTTGTGTGCATGCGGGGACACACACATGCCACAGCTGCACAACTACCTGGAGCTGGTTTTCTCCTTCCACCTGTGGGACCTGCGGAAGGAACTCAGATCATCAGAGTTATTGGCAAGTGCCTATCTCACTTGCCTTCAATAAATTAAGAAAAAAGAATGCATATGAGTATTTGCTTGTATGTGTATAAGTGCATTATGTGCCTGCTTGGCGCCTATAGAGAGCATCAGATCCCTTGGAATTCGAGTTAGAGGTGGTTGGGAGCCCCCAAGTGGGTACTAGGAAATGAAGCCCGGTCTTCTGAAAAAGCAGCAAGTATTCTTTCTGGCATCAGTAATTTCTTGTGGAATGAATAATCTAAGCTCATGTCCTAGGAGTTAGGACACGATGAAGTATGGACATTCCCAGAGGGATATCTTGTAAAATTAAGCATTTATCACTCCATTAAATAAATGAGGTTTATTCAGGGAACAGCCATGAGCTGTCATCACCTGCTCACCCACAGGCTCCTCTTCTCTCTTCTCTCCACTAGATCTAGCATTTACGCCTCAGGACATGGAGGGAGGAGATGCATCAAATCCCAGAGTTGAAATGTTCCCTGTGGCGGCCACAGTGCTGGGCAGCTGAGTGAACGTGGAGCGCCTTTGTCCAGAAGGCTTCATTTTCCTCCATTCCACTTGCCCTTTCCAAGCAGCTTCTTGCAGGAAACTGGGCTGCTGTGTTTCCCTCCACTGGCTGCCCCGAGCAACAAGAGAAAACCTGAGGGAGGAGCAGCCCAGTTTGGTGGCCGGGCCAGTCCTTGAGAGCCCAGCCTGACTGAAGTGCAAAGGGCATAGCTGGCAGCTCTCTCTCACAGGAATGGAAACAGGCGCTTCTTCACAATATAAAGGACTGTAGCAAGGAACAGGGCCAGGGCAAGGAAGATGAGAAGTTTGTCTGTCAGTTCCCGGCGGTTGTATTTCGTGATGAGCTTCCGGCCCAGCTGGATGGTCCCCGACATGGACTTAAACTCTTCATTTGCATCCAGGAGAGTCCGTGAAGAGCTGACTGCAACAGAAGAGGAGGGGCCTGATTCAGACTGTGCCACCTGGACAAAGAAGAGCTCAGTATGCTGGGCCATCTGACTGTCAACAAGACCAGAGCCTGAGCCGGGCAGCTGAGATTTAGTTTTATTATTGTGAGTTATGGGCATATCTGTGTGGGTCTAGGCACATGAGGGTACTGAACTTGACCAGAGCCTGAGCAGGGCAGGTGAGATTTAGTTTTATTATTGTGAGTTATGGGCATATCTGTGTGGGTCTAGGCACATGAGGGTACTGAACTTGGGTCCTCTTCAGGAGCAGTACTTGCTTTTAACCACCAAGCCATCTCTCCAGCCCCCTTGTCATTAGCTTTGGATGTCTTGAGCTGTTTTCATGGATACGTGTGGACTAGACAGAGGATGGAGTAAGGGCAGAGATGAAACAAGGTGGCTGTGACAGCCATGAAAGCAAGGTGGGAGGTTCAAGGATTTACCAAACCTCACCGTCTCCCTTGGTTGACATGTGAAATCTTACAAGGAACAAACTCCTTTTCTGTTTCCTACAACTGAAGGGCCCTAGAGGAAGAAATTCTCTACAAAGGCGCCATGGTGGGAAGGCACTTGGCAAGAATGTGGCAGTCCCAAACAGCCTCCTCTGTGGCCTCCGGCTAGGACATTTAAAAGGAACTCACAGTAATGGTCTTGCCAGTGGTCTCAATTCCCAAACCTGCCTGGCAATACTAAGCCCATGAGTCAGTGCTAAAAACCAGACTCCTGAACCCCTTGAAGGATCGCTGACAGGCACCATCTCCAGAGAGACGGGCTATTTCTGTTTTTCACATGAGTCTAGCAATGCTTCCTTAGGGAAGCAGTGATGGCATGAAGCATGTCAGCACAGCTGCACAGCTGAAGGAGAGGAAGAGCGGCGTCCACCCCCACCATCACCACCACACACACAAAGGACCAAACTGTCTTGCTAGTACTGAGACACAGTTTGAGTGTGGCTTCTGGTGTAGCTTCTACTCCTTACCTAGAGTCTGCATAGCCTCTTCACTCTGCTGCACCTGCTGTGACATCATCCTGCTGATCCCCATGAGGCTCTCTGTGATGGTGCTGGATGTCTGTGCCAAACTCTCTTTGGTAGTTTTCCTGAAAGTTCAGAGGAAGGAACAATAACAGCAAAAGCCTAGCTTATAAAAAGCACCATTTTCCCTGTCTGGTAAACCCCCCCCCCCCAAAAAAAGCACCATTTTAACCTATCACACTAGTGCACTTTCTGTTTGTGCTTTGAGATGGGGTCTCATAATATAGCTCAGCCTTGCCAATAGGGCAGAATGTCCTCACCTCAGCTCCCCCCCCCCTCCTGTGAACGCTAGGATTACAAGTATGTACCACACAGTCACCTAGCATACATTTCTTTCTTCTTTTTTGTTTTATTCAAGATAGGGTCTCACTTTGCAGCCATGGCTGTCCTGGAACCGGCTCTGTAGACCAGGCTGGACTAGTTCACAAGGATCCATCTGCCTCTGCCTCCCACATGCTGGGATTAAAGGCATGGGCTACTACTGCTAGCTTGCACATTCCTAAAACATCAGTGTGGCTAAGGATGTATGCTGAGCCCACGTTCTCAAGCCCTGCTGGGAGGAATGGAAACCATGCATGCGGCCGTCTGTAAACCAATTTTCACTAAGTACAAAGAGACTTAGCTCATTCACTCCTAGAGAACTTGTTCAAGGAACCAGATGAAATCCTGCCGTGATGCATCATCATACGATACTGAAAAGGCAGAAATGCCAACACACTAACAGGACTGGTTAATAACCTAGATATTATGCATGCACAGTTAAAAGAAGAGTCTTAAAAATTGTCAGGGAGGACTGGGAGTTAGCTCAGTGGTAGAGCATTTGCCCTTCATGCATGAGGCCCTAGGTTCAACTCCTACTACTACAAAAAACAAACAAAATCCCCAAACCAAAAACCAATTTTAGTCTGGGTTGGGGATGTAACACAATTGGTTGGTAGAGTGCTTGCCTAGTATGCACAAAGCCCTTGGGTGGGTTTCCAGAACTGCAAACTTGGTGTGGAGGTGCACACCTGTGAGATCTGAAGTTCAAGGCTATCCTTAGCTACACAGCAAGTTTGAGACCAGATGAGGATGTATGAGACCCACTGTCAAAATAGAAAAAAAAAATACTTATGCATTAACATAAAGTACAAACATTATGAAAACACAAAGGCCACCTCACATGGGGCTTAGATGTGTTATCAGAGCCCAAAGGGACGAAAGGAAGATACCTTTGCCTTAGGAGGTCTCCTCCCTGCATAAGTTCTGCTTTTTCCAGGTTGTCGATGGCAATTTTGCAGGTAAGATTAGCTTTCCGCCATGAGGTCTGGTTGCTGGAAGAAGAAGGGTCACACATAAGGTTCTGGTGGTGTCTACAGGTTGCTTGGCCTAACCAGTCCACCCTCCCAGGTATGACTCAGAGTTCAACCTCATCTTTCTCCACTTCCTCTTCTTGGTAGCCCTGGTAACTACTTTAGCATAGGTCCTAACATTTCTCTGTTGAACCTCTGGAAGATGTTTCCAGAATGGTCTGTCACTATCCCTCTCCTGCTAGGCAGTTGGGAGACCAGGGAAATGGCCTCTACTAGACACAGACCCACAATGGCTTTACTGCCTGACAAGTGTCTGGGTGTTGTCTTTGAGAACCATGACCTAGCATTCCTCCTCCATACCTAGTACTGGAACCACCATTTATCCCTCCTGCAGTGGCTGTTAGGGGGGTTAAAATCCCAAGAACCAACATTCCTCTGAGACTCGCTATTTTTTGTCTATTTGACACCAGTCACAGACACTAAAAATATCAAAGGGCACCCTGATTGGTGTAATTTATTCATATTCTCCACCTACTCCTTTGTAAATGATGGCTCGAGTGTAAGCAACACTTGAGATCAACAATCCATTTTTCACTGTCAAACAAGAAAAGCCAACCATATCCTTCTAACAATCAAACCCATGCTCTGGAACTCTCACACAGCAGCTCAAATCAACTGTGCTAAGCCCCGACACACAAAATACTAGAACTTAGTGCTTAACTAATTAATTTCTTTAAATTAAAAAAATTAGGTGTGTATGATTGGGGTGAGGGTGCATGCCACAGCACATGTGCGGCGGTTGGTCAGAGAACAATTTTGTGGAGCTGACTTTCTCCTTCCACCTTTTTTTTTTTTAAGACGGGGTTTCTCTGCATAGCCCTGAGTGTCCTGGAACTCGATGTGTAAACCAGGCTTGGCCTTGAACTCACAGAGATCCTCCTGTCTCTGTCTCCCAAGTGCTGGGACTAAAGGTGCTCTTCAGGGGGGCCTCTCAGATGCTGCACAGCACCTCCTAGTCCATTCCACACCTTTTCAAACAGTTACATCTTCAAAAGTTCACAACAGTATTCTGCAAGGCCCAGGGGTACAGAGCTGAGTGCCTGGTCTTCAAGGAGCTCACATTTATTAGGGAAGAAAGTAAGCAAATACTATATAGCTTGGCAAACCTGGTAACCTGATAAACATATCTGCTGCTCCAACATGAATTCCCTGCTTTCTTTCCTCAAACCTTTAACACCACACCAGGAACAGCCATGCTTTGTTTTAAGCCCACACTAAACTGACAGTGTTTGGTGCAACTTACCACAACATGCACACACACTCCCAGTGAGTTCATGCTTACAATCTGAGAACCCTTGGGGACATAAAAAGCCATCGCCAATGAGCCTCGTGCACCTCTCACTCCCATGTCTTTGTCAGTCGCTCTTAACAGCTGAGTGTTATTCACACAGCTGCTGTTGGCGAGCCTACAGCTGGAGAGAAACTCAACTCAGAAGTGAAACCACAAGCAAACAGTTGTAACAAGGGAAACGTATGGAATTCTGACATAGCAGAAACTACTGAGATGGCCTTGAACACCATGAGGCTGAGAAAGGTGTGTTTGCAATAACAAGACCCTTTTGGACTATAGTACAAAAGTACAACCTGATTCATGTTGTCAGACAATGTTAAAAAAAAAAAGTTGCCAGGTGTTGGTGGCGCACACCTCTAATCCCAGCACTCGGGAGGCAGAAGCAGGCAGATCTCTGTGAGTTCGAGGCCACCCTGGTCTCCAGAGCAAGTCCCAGGACAGCCTCCAAAGCCACAGAGAAACCCTGTCTTGGAAAAAAAAAAAAAACAGTTTTTCCCCCTGGTTTAGAGACTAAGAAATGGCATATACTGCTTTATAATCAAAGATTAGCACCCAGCTGCAATGTCATCAAAATCTCAATTCTAGCATAAACTTACATTTCTGTGCATCATTCATTCAGATGATGCCACATTGAAAGCTAAACTTTGGTCCATCTTCAGTAAGTAGGCTCACTTTCAATGAGCTTCCCTCATACTAATTATTCTTGAATAAAATTTACACTGTATTATAAAAGTAATTATGTTCTTAAAAGTTTAATTTTATTATTTTAATTGTACGCACATATGCGTGTGTGAGTAAGTGTGAGATCAGACCCCACTGGAGTTAGAGTTATAGGCAGTTGTAAGTCATCTAACATGGGTGCTAGGAACTGAACTCAGGTCCTCTAGAGGGGCAGTACACATTTGAAACTGCTGAGTCATCTCTCTTGCCTTGAAAAGTAATTTCTGTTTTCAACTATATAAAAAGTGGATGTGAGGTGTAGTTGCATTGGTGCAGGCTTGCCTAGCATGCACAAAACCCTTGCTTTGATTCTCAGCACCACATAAACAGGTGGTGGCACATGCCTGAAACCCAGCAGCTGGGAAGTAGAAGCAGGAGGATCAGAAATCCAAGGTCATCCTCAGCTACATGTTGAGTTTGAGGGCAACTTGGAAGACGAAAGACCCTGTCTCAAAAATAAACAACAGAACCAGGGCCATCGAGATGGCTCAGAGGGTAGAGGTGCTTGTGTGCAGGCCTGATGAGCGGAGTTCCATTCCTAGGTTTCCCAAAATGTCAGAAAAGGACCGACCCCACACACAGTTCCCACACCTACAAAATTTTAAGATACATGAATATATACAGTACAGCAGAGGGTTAATTCTGAAAACATATAAACACTGTGAGCACTATAAACATACCAGCTTCAAATGTCCATGCAGACTCTACTTGTCCCCCTTCCCTCCTCCATAACTACAGATCTAGAGAACTTCCAGCCTGTGTGTGTTAATGACACCACTACATCATCATTAAGCTAGGCTTATTAGACAAATACGTGTACAAGCCTCATGGCCAGCCAGCCAGCAAGCCAGCAGGGATGGCCATAGGCTACCCTGCCTACCTGAGCATCTGCTTTTTGTGGTTCTCCACTTCCTGAAGTAGAAGCTGTTTCTCCGACTCCTTGTCTTGCTCCCTTGCTGACTGCTCCAGGTCCTTGGAGGGGAAAACAGCTGTTAGTCAGAGTGCTTCTGTTTCTAGAAGGGGCACACACAAGCTATTGAAGCATCTTCTACCACAGACTTGGGTGTGAGAGAGAGCATGTCCCAAACAACCAAATGCACAGGCGAATTTACAAGAAAGAGAAGGAAGCATTGGCAGTCCAAAGGTGAGCTGGACAGGGTGCTGGAGTGGGCAGCTCTAGAATGCTGCCCTGGCTGGAGCCGGGGTTGCCATTCCTACAGCCTTGAGACTGCTTGAAATAATGAGGAGGGGGGCAAGAGCCCACTATTACATGTTTCCAAACATTGCCCATTTCTGTACCTACTCCAACAGAGCTTTGAGGGTTTGAACTTGCTTGTGAACGTAACAGAGGCTGAAGCAGAACTAAAAGCATCACAAACCCAGGACCGGCAGAAGCTTCCAGTCTGGGGATGTCCACTCATCAGCAGAGCAGACACAGACACTTGTCTGGTTTATTTTGCTTTGGTTTTGAGGGGGCTGGCAAGTGGTGTGCTATGGACTTTGGGTAGAGGGATGATTTATCTTTCCTGAGTGGTTTGAGAACTGAACAGAAGATAAATTAACATAAACAATGTCCCCAGACTTGTGACCATCCCTGGAGACTGAGAGATGTGCCCTGGAGAAGGCTGCAGATGCTCCAGGAGAGGCATATGCCCATGATTCAAACTAGCCAAATACCAAGGAAAAGAGAAAAGAGTCTATCATGAGCAAAGGATGCAGACATGACCAACAGCACCAGGCCTAAGAATCTGAGATAATGGAGTTGTCACACACACTGTAAAGATGCCACAACACCTCATGCCTCAAGTCCTATTTTTAGTTCCACTTTCAAGCAATCCATAGAGCTAAAACATCAACATATTAGTTTATCCAGATAACAATCTACTCATTTCTATATAAATTTCCATATGCTGGTTTGAAACGAGCATGTGTATCTATGCATCATTTCAACAGCTCAGAAATGACTTCCAGGTTTACGCCCCTCAAATATTGCTAAGGCAGAAAAAAAGCAAAACGGACTATGAATTGAAAAAAAGAGTACTTAGGCATGATTGCACATGCCTTTAATCCCAGCACTTGAAGCAGAGGCAGCTGGATTTCTGTGAGTTCAAGGCCAGCCTGGTCTACTTAGTGATTTTTACTGTACCCAGAGCTATATAGTGAGACACTGTCTCAAGAGAAAAAAACGGAAGGGGGTGTGCAAATGTCACCAGGTATATAACTTAAGTTTTTGTTTAGAATCCCCATTCCCTTCAATGCAGTCACTGCACAAGGTGACTTGTGGTCTATTTTCTGCTACATTGATCTCTTCTGCCTGTCAATGGGTCACTGAAAGGAAGAACGGTGTCAGAGAGAAGGGGATGCGTGCAATTTCCTTAGAAGACGCTGCTTGGAAGTCGTCACAGAGAACCTGACATCTCTGGAGAAATGGAAGATGTACTGTTACTCTCACATTCCAGCTGAAGAAACACAAATGCAAAAATACCATCTATGTAGGAAGCAGCATATTCAGAAGACATAAGCCACTTCTTTTCCACTCAATCACAACCTTGTTGAAACACACAAAAGAGACATTCACTTAAGTGCTTTTAAGTGTTTCCAGGTATACACAGAGCATATAAAACTGAGGAAATGCAGACAAGAGCTAGGATGGGGCTAGTCATTCACTGACCTTTCACCTTGGTAGATGTCATCTAAAGAGAGGCTGTAACCAAGAGCAGCAGCATAATAAATGTGTAAATGTACTGGTGAAGATATTTACTTAAAACTAGGAAAGGAAAGAAATGCCAGGTAAGAACACAAGATACTTATGCAACAGTGGTAGTTAAAAGTTGGAGAATTGGCTGGGTGGTGGTGACTCGTGCCTGTAATCCCAGCACTCGGGAGGCAGAGGCAGGCGGATCTCTGTGAGTTCGAGGCCAGGCTGGACCGACAGCCTCCAAAATAATACAGAGAAACCCTGTCTCGTAAAACCAAAAAAAAAAAAAAAAAAAAAAAAAAAAAGTTGGAGAAGGAGAATTGAAGAAAGGCATTTTAAGAAAACAAATTAGCTCTAAGAATCAAAACAGGGAAGCAGCCCAAATGAATGCCTGTTGGTAAAGAAATGGCTAGAAAAAAATTACAACTATATAAGAAGGCTGGAAGGCTGTTTAAGTGCAGGTCCTTCAGAGACAGGTAAGCCTAGAGATTTAATGCTATGGCATGTTCATGCCCAGAAAGAGAAGACACTGCAAAAATATATCTGTAATCTTTAAGAAGACAAACTCTGGCAAGACATGTAAGTAGCAAATCAGAGCTATTTGAAATAGTGGTACAGAGAACAAATAAAGAACAGTACCAAGACACACAACAGAGACTAACAGCTGTGGGCGCGCACGCACACACACACACACACACACACACACACACACACACACACACACACACACACACACAGGAAGCAATATTTTTCAAAAGTTCAGATGGAGGAAGCAGTGCTGGAGATGGTGATCACTAAGTACTGAAATTCTAAAGTCAGCTCCAAATGCAGAAATCACCTATATTTGAAACTGCCCTGGAAAATCCCCCAGGAAGGGAACAAGAAGCGCTCTCGAAGTTGTCAACCTGCTAATTTCCCACCAGCTTTGGAAGAGACTGTATCTGCTAAGCAATCGAAGAATTGAAGGATAGTTTTGGAACAACGTCATTTACTACATGCAGCAAAACTAGGTGATTCTAGCCCCACGCAGTGATGGGCAGATTCGTAGTACCAGTCCCTGAGGGCACAGCAATGGATGGTTCTACTACTCACATGGTTACTTCTCATTCTCTTGTGTTTTGAGACAGCAGTTGCACTATAGTTAAAGTCAGGTGTGATATGATGTAAACTGTGACTCTAGAAACCATAAGGGAGTTACTTCAAAAAATGATAGCATGGAAAACACCCAGGACATGTTGGTGACAGACTCAGGCAGGGAATGAGTGCACAGGTTCCAATCTTTGTTAGTCCGTTTACCCTCAAGGTAACAATGTTTACCCAGGTAGCATGTGAAGAATCTGGTCAACTCTCAAGCAAAGGCTATTCTAGGCCAGAGCTCTCACCCTGGCTACCTGCCCTTAGGTAACAAAGGTTTGGAGCCTCACTTACCTGTATCCTGCATCGTAACTGTTGAAACTTTTCTTTCACCTTAGTATTCAGTTCAGTGAGCTCACTTAAGGGTCCAGAACAATCTCGAATATCCTATAAGACAAGGAAGAGATGAGGGGCCTTTCTTCAGTCAATGACATATACAGGGAGAAAGCTGATTTAGCCCACAACTAAGGTTGGTCTAGCTTCACCTCCTCCTGCTCACTGCTGTTCTCCTTTGCACAAAAGCAAAAACATCACTTTCGGTTTCCTCATGCCTCTTAAAATTAACACTGAGCAGAATACATAAAAGTAGTCTGCATGTACAGTTCAGTGTACAGTATTTGCATATGCTTGAGGTCCTGGGTTTCATCCTAGCAACACACACACACACACACACACACACACAATTATATGTGTGTAGATAAATAAGTAGCTAGCTAAACTCAACCTTGACTTAAAATTTTTACAAAGCATTATCCAGCCACTATGAAAGGCTTAAGCAGCTTAATGTTCATGAAGAATGAACATCTAAAGCTGGGCAGTGGTAGCACAAAATCTTTAATCCTAGCACTCAGGAGGCAGAGGCAGGTGGACCTCAGTGAGTTTGAGGCTAGCCAAAGTGAGTCAGGATAGTCAGGATGATTACACAGAGAAACCCTGTCTGGGGAAGAAAATGAGCATCTAAGAGATACTCTACAACTCTAAAATCCCAGTGCCTAAATCCATGGTAACATATAACAAAAGCAACTTAGTCTGATTTTACAAACCATCTGTCTGTTGCAAGTCATAATGTTTAAAGATATTGAGAATTTGCTTCTGGAGAGAAATCAAAATCACTAGAGCCAAGATTTAATGCAGGTTCTAGACTTGGGCTATTATATTCAAATCCTGGTTACAACTTATTAGTGCAATCTTGAAAAGCTGTGCTTCCAATTCTTCATCTGACCTACCTCAGAGTCATATTTCTTTGCATAAAATGCTTAGAAGAATGGCTGGAAGACCATAAGAATGCATATGTATGGGGTTATGCTTACTTAATAGTAACCACAAGAATCCAAAACCATGGGTCACAAAAGAGACCTAGCAATCCGAATATGAAAACGTACCTTTTCTTTTTTTAAATTTTGGATGCGGTCTGTTTTTTGTTTTTGAGACAGGATCTATGTACTCCATGTTGGCCTCAGATGCATGATTCTCCTACCTCTGCTTTCCAAGTGCTAGCACCAACACACTAGCAGCTTTGTTTTATGTAAGTACATGTATTTATTGATGCATTCCGAGGACCGAAAGCTAAATTTAACTCTACACCGAGCTACATATACCCCCAGCCCCTGGTAATTTCATTTGTATAAACCCAATTCTTGTTTATCTTTCTAGAATTGGGCCAGACACTGGGCCATCACTGAAGTTTGAGAGATTTAAGGTTTGCACCAAGTTTTTTCACTTATTCTCTTGTCTATTCTTAAAATCATACTTCGTCGCGGCATAGGATAAAGTACTAATGTGGTATGGTGCGCATCTGGTCTATCAGAGAGTACTACTTCCTCACCCCTTTTTGACAGGAGCTCATGCGTGTATCCTAGCAACCACAGCCCATATACGCAGCACTGGGAAGGAAGCCCAGTGCAAGCTAGGCAAGCATTCATCAGCAGAGCCACACCCCCATCCTTTCTTCTCTCGCTGTCAGATTGTATTGCGAGTTTCTTCAGTTGTTTGTTTTTTTTTTAATCAGAGACCAAGTTTATATTTTTAAGCATATATTTACTTTGTAATAAACCATTTTCAGTTTTTTTCTAAATTGAGGAACCATTTCCACATTCCCTACTCTTAGCTATGTTAACTTTCTTGCACTACCGTCTCCGACTTACACCTGCTTCCAGATAAGCGCCTCATTTCCCCGTCGTAAGCTCTAAAATCCTTGGCTGGCTTTCCCCGTCCAGGTCCTAGTATCGGCACTGCCTGCCTTTTGACACAGAACTTTACACTCCATTAGATTTCTTCACTCAAAAAAAAAAAATTACAACCACGGTCCAGGTTACGTTAGCTTCGGCCAGTGACTCCCGTGCCAGGTGGCCTTGGGTTACCCTCAGGGCCCCTAACACGGGGAGGGTGTGGGAGGAGATAGGAGAGGCGGCAGGGCGGAGGTACCGCCGAGACAGCGGGTGAGCAGGCTAGCTCCGAACCTCTGCTGTATTGCCAGGGGACAGGAGAGGGACGTGGGGATACCTCAGAGGCGGGCGAACCAACAGTACGCACAAGAAAAGCGCTGAAAGTCAGTGATCCCCAGGGACCCGACCGAATGGAGCCTGAGGAATCCGCTTGGAGCAGGGACGCCTGCCTGGGAAGTTGAGCTGAGCGAGAAGGTACCAGAGAACGCCAAGGCGGTTAGCGAGAGTCCGGCGTGGGGCTAAGAATCTGTACCTGGATAAGCGCCTTCACCTCTAGGTCGAATTTGACAATCTCCTGGTTACAGATTCGGACGTGGACGTCCTGGGGAGCCGCCATGTTGGAAACGCGGCTACGGCGAGCAGCGGTGGCCAAACTTTATCGTGTTCGAGTGACGCCGGCTCGCCTTCCGTATTTTTCTTAATGTGGCGCCGCCGGGAGACTTAGTGCAGAGCAAACCAGGTTGCCAGTCCAGACCTGGGATTTTCTTTGACACGTGGAACACGGACAGCCCCTCTCGTCTGCTCCTACTAAACGGAAAAGTGAAAGTAATTATGAAGAGTCATGAGGGTTGGAAAACAGCTCATTTGGTGATGGGCTTGCCTGGCACACCACCGTTGCCTCGGGTTCTGACCCCAGTAACTTTCAGAACAACAACAAAAAATCCGCTCAACAGTTGTCACTTTCCATCTTTCTGGCACCAATTACTTTAATGACATTTTGCATAGGAACAAAAAAGTACCAATTAGGTTAATACAAAATTTTTACAGTAAGTATGAATTATAGAGTAAGACACAAAAATTTGTAAAGGTATAGAATTTATGCAGGTCACTGGAGCATCTCCATCAGTACAAGCATGATTCCAGGGCTTTCTCATACACAGAACCTACATTGCCTTTCTTACACATTTCTATGACTCTGATGTTGCTCTTTGTGTAGAACAGGATTACAAGTATCTTGCAGGAGTGATTCTGATTGAGTCATGTGATTTTTGATAGAAACAATGTCAGTGCAAACCTCAAGGGTAGTGCTTTTTAAAATTATTGCTTCTTAGTAAATCTTCAAGACCACTGACCACTTTCCCTTCCCTTTCCCCCACCTTCAGGGATTCCCCAGGCTCTGTAGCCTTGGGGTGTGGGTTCCCTCTTTAAAAATGTTTTTCTCAAACTGCACACACAGCCTCCTAGGTGGTGTAGTATAAGTCAGCCTCCACAGTTGCCTATGTTCCTACAGCACCTTGCACCATTTTCTAAAAGGTGCTGAACACCTCACTGCAAGTAAGAACGGCCTGGATTCCAGGTCTGTACATCATCAACCCTGCTCTAGTTTTCTCAGAAGCTAATATGATCATCAGTAGCATCACTGCCAAGGATGCCTTGAGGGTGAAATGAGGTACCACATGAAATGCGGCAGTGTTGATAATGTGGCATTGAACTCAATGGCTTCTAGTTGCTATAATGTGGCATTGAACTCAATGGCTTCTAGTTGCTATCCACGTATTACTAAGCAACATAATGGGAGTATGTATGTGCAAGCATTTACTGTTCAGTGTTTCACTTGCATAGTCAACTTGATTAGTTTGGTTATAGGAAGTGGGAAGGAGGACAGAAAAAAATTGAATATGTAAAAGGATGTATGCATTTTATCTTGGCTTTTCAGAGGCAGGGTCTCATGTAGCCCACAATGGTTTCCAACTGTCTGTGTAGACAAGGACAGCCTTGAACTCTTGGTCTTCTTGTCTCAAACTCCCAAGTGCTGTAATTACATATGTTCACCACTGAAGTTGTCAGACTTGCTTTAATAATTCTTTTCTATTTGGGTGTGGTGGCACACACCATTATTCCAGCACTCAGGAGGCAGAGGCAGGCAGATCTCTGTGAGTTCTAGGCCAGCCTGGTCTACATAGTGAGTTCCTGGCTAGCCAGGACTAGAGTCTGAGGCCCTGTCTCAAAAAAAACAAAATCGAAAAAGAATCCTCTTCATAGTGGGTGTATCGGTTTACAAATGCAACAGCAAAATGACAGAAATACCCATTTCCTCTAGCTCACCAGCATGGTGTGCTGACACTGGGATCCTTACCATTTGGTCTGTTTCTCAAAATGTCTTTATTTTGCATCTCTCATAATGAACAAGAAAGACTAGGAATGTTTCAAAGATATATTTACTTTGCTCACTTTTCTACTGGGTCATTATTCTGCATTAGTTTTTAGGTGCCCTTTCTGTTATTAGTATTCTGGTTGTAAATTTTGCAGAATTCTGACTTTGCCTATGGTACTTTTTAGCTCAAAGATGACTTAAAATTTCAGTTTCACATAGCACTGGTAGAGTTTTATGACTCCTGGACTTAGGACTATGTTAAAAAAAATCCTTCCCACTCCTCAAGAATTTAAGATTGTTCACATTCCCTTCTAGTACTTACGTTTGTTTTTTTAAACACCTATATCTTTACCCATTTGAAACATATATTGGCTTATAGTGTGAGATCCAGAACTAACTTGACATTTTCTAGGTTACTCAGTGGCTCCAACACTAGAGAAGGGCCCAACTTTTTTTTTAATCTTAGTTCTGGATTTCATATCAACTGTGCTGTTTGTTCATACATTTCTAAACTCACTATTCTAATCTACTTGCCTGTGCATTCACACACTAAATGGCAGTTTTTATATGGAGTCTTCTGTATGATTGGATTAACTACTTGATTTATTCTCTCTAAACCCCAACATATTTCAGCTACTTTTCCCCCACAATTTTCACACACTTTGGGTTATTTTGTTAAGATGGTATCACATATTTAATGTGACTCAGAGCCAGTAACTTTCAGTTGACAGGTCTTGTTTTGGAGCCTGGTGTGTATTCTAATTCATTCAAATGTCTTCAGCAATCTTCACTGTAAACTCTTCTTTCAATTTTGTACATTTTCTGTTCTTCATTCCAAATACCATTTTAAGATTAAAAACTTTTAAAGAAATAGATTGACATTCAAATCACTGTAATGTTCTGAGTAAACCTCTCCATTTAGGACACAGGAGAAACCTTAAAGACAGTACTGGATGGATTTCCAGCCTTTGAACCCTTGCCTTCCATCCTTCTTGCTGGGAATTCCTGCACAATCAGCAGTCTGCAGAAGCTAGAGTAAGCAGTTCTCCATGTCTACTTTATGTGATACTTTGTTCCAACTAGTTAACCCAACCCTGCACCCTGAGCCAGAGGCTATCTCCTAGGGGACAGGCAAGTGCACAGCCTGGTACCCACCCACCCACACACCCTCTCATGAGTCTTCCAACCCTACTTTACTCCTTCCATTCAGGAACTGTCTTTGTTGACTACACTGACTGGGCTTTGGATCTTTCTGACCCTCATATTCTAAGCACGTTACTTCCTTCTGACATGGGCACTCTCCTAAATATTGCTCATGATTTGGCCTGGCTCATTTGAGATGAGCAGGAATTGTCCTCAGAGCATCAAGCAGACTGGAGTGTGCTGAACCTCTATTACCATGGGCTGGATGTAGGGCTAGTACCTACATCTGAGAACTGTTGGACTCTTCTGTGGAAGGACAAGGCTATCAGCCTCACTGGGCCTGATATTAGTAGCTGAGTACTCTTAAACAGAACAACAACTAGAAGGTTTATGGAGTACCACCTCCATACCTAAGAATTCCCAATCTTCTAGCTGAATAAGGACAGCACTTCCTAATTAATGTTTTTCTTTCAAATTCTTCATTGCACTATAGCTTAAGAATTCGCCAGCTGATGTATCTCATTGATGATATCGTGGAAGACTTTGTTCCCTAAAGACTGCACTGACCTAGCTCCCTTGGCTCCTCAGAGTTCCCAACACTGGGAGAGGCAAATCTTGAACAACAATCACCCCATGGGAAATCACATCTACTTTACTTGGCCTTTTTTTTTTTTTTTAACTCAAATAGAGGGGATAAAAAGTCAAGTAACCTTCAGCTGTCATTCCTTAGGTGCTGTCCTTTTCAGGGATGGGGTCTCTCAGTAGTTTCCAAGTAGGCCATGCTGGGCTGTGGGCCCCAGGGATCTACTTGTCTCCCTGGCTGGATAGAAGTGTCCATACCAGACCCTGCTGTTCATCTGAGTGCTGGGAATTGAAATAAGGTCCTCATGCTTGCCTGACATTTTAACATACCTGCATGCCCTGCAGCTCTCATCCCTTCTTTAACATCCCCATAGATGCCATATCTTCAACTTTTCTTGTGTTTTCTGCCATCCTGCCCACATGCCATTCCCCTTGGTGAACTGATTTTGTGGCGGTCTCTTCAATCACTCTATAACCCAGCACCTACTCACACATCCTGAGAGAATAGGTTCTCAACAGATGCTTCCTGCTGAAGAACATCCATTCCTATGCCCCTTTCACCCAGTCAGGGCCCCTTGGTGTAGGCCTTAGGCACACAGCTCCCCTAGCTTGAAGTGTTTTGATAATTTGTTTTCCTTGAAGAAATTCCCTGTCCAAATTACCAAAGACAAATTAAGTATAAACTATTGTTTACAAAGAAAGCAAATATTTCTATCAAATAATTTTATGGTATACCTAAATTTCACTGAAATACTAAAAGCCCAGCTACAGTGTCAATAACCCTTAGTTCTCTGTATGCCCAAAGAGACAACACAGTTGGCTCCCCTGCTCTGTGTAGCTGGAGACTTCTTAGGGACAGTTTGTCCTGAGGAATGGATGGCTTCTGTGTTGCAGGCAACAGAAAGGAGAAAAGACAAAATATGAGGCAAACGATTCAAAACCTTTTCTTTTCATATTTTTTATTTTAAATTACAAAGGGTGCTGCATACACTGATGATTCTGTGTCTGACTACAAGTGCTGACAGGTTAGAGGGTGACAGAAAACAAAGCAACCTGTGCATGGCCTTCTCCTGAAAGGAGAACTGCACGACTATTAACCAACGTTGAGTCATTTTTAAACAGCTCATGCGTGAACAAGATACAAGAGACAAGACTGAATCCAATAAAGTGTCACAGCTCCAGCTGGGGGTGGGAGAACCAAACTATGGAATATTTATGATCATATCACAGACAGGATCCTAAGCGCAACTATTTGAAAAGGCTGCCAAACCACAGAACAAACACTTTGTATTCTTGCCTTTCTGTGTTGGCAACTCCAGAGTTACTGAACCACAAATGCTATGCTATGTATGGGACAGACTCTACGGCAAGAAGACAATAGCAGGCAGTGGAGTACAGTGTCGTAAAACATGTGGTGGAAAGGCCAATACAGTACACACACACAGTGTTGTTATTTAGTTCTGGAAAAAAACAAAGGGCAAAGGGCAAGACACAGAATCAGTCCCATTCCTGGCACCCGGAACTGAGTCAACTACACCAGGTGTTTACACTGTAATGGAAGAGG